ATTTATATTCATATAATTTCTTATCATTCTAAACAATGGAACGCATCTTCCTGGTAATTTAGTTTTCATGAAATTTTAATTTTATTCCTCATCAAATATTTTATACGAACTAAATGGACTGGTAAAGTAACATTTTTCTAGAGTAAGATATGATAATGATAGTTATATATATATATATATATATATATATATATATATATATGGAAGGGTTCAGGTGCGGTAAAAGCTTCCCGTGCGGTCGTGCGGTTGGATGCATCTTCAATATTAACATGGCGCATCTTAGGTATACAAATCATCAGGCACGTTAAGCACACAAACAAAGCATCTTAAGAACACAAATCACTCACATTAAGTACATAAAGCACGCACCTTAAGCACAGAATAAAGCACACTAAACACAAAACCCACGCACTTAAGATTTTAAAATGGCTCATATTAAGCACAAATTCACGCACATTAAGCATAAAATTCACGCACATTAAGCACAAACCTTACGCACATTAAGCATTAAACTGACGCACTTTAGGTATTAACTCACACACTTTAAGTTTCCACAACTACTGACATTAATCACTAACCCCACACACATTAAGCACACACCCCACGCACATTAAGCACAAATCTCACGCACCTTAAGTACAAATCACACGCACATTAAGTCCAAACCCAAACACATCAAATTTACCGAGATGCAAAATTTACCAAAATGCCACCGCATTTTTTAATTTAATTTTGATAATCTTGGACGTTGATTTAAACGAGATGAATGACTCAGATTAAACCGCACAACCACACCTGAGGTGCCCACCTGCACTAGAACCCACTTCTATATATATATATATATATATATATATATATATATATATATATATATATATATATATGTGTGTGTGTGTGTGTGTGTGTGTGTGTGTGTGTGTGTGTGTGTGTGTGTGTGTGTGTGGGGTAGCCATTGAGTATGTGTTTGAGTAATAATTTGACAAAAAAAAGTGCGCAACAATATTTTTAATTTGATTTTTTTTTTCATTCAGCAGAATTGGCACCTTAATATTATTTACTGTAAGATTTAATAATGATAGTTAGGCGGATAATTACAATAATAATAATATAAAGAAAAGGTTGAAGATATTATGTTGTAATCATTAATTATGGGTTTGAAAAATTGATTTTGGAAAAAAAAAAGTGCTAATTGCATTTGTTATTTCATTTACTTCATTCAATAAAACATTAAAATGAAAGACATGTGATAAGAGACATTTAAAAAAGCATACGCAACCACCCCAAAGAGGCAACAATTGCACTTACCCGATAGACATTTTATGTGCGGGGAATATAATGACACCATTTTCACCTCTCTCTCTCTCTCTCTCTTTTTTTTTTTTTTTTTTTTCAAAAAACCTATAAATTAATTGTAACCCTCTTAGACTCTCTCTCATTTGCCACATAAGCTTCTCTTTCCTCAACATATACTAAAAGTCTAGCAAAAATTCCCCTTTAAATGATCTAAGAGTACACTTATTATTTCTCTATAATATATCAGATGTAATACTGATAATTTGGTAGACAATTACAATGACTATAAAAAATTAAATACAATATTAGCAACCATTAATTATGGGTTTAAATTTTAGGTGACATTGCATATTAACATTCAACACAATAATCATATAATAAAGTTATGTACTAATTACATTTTTTTAAAGGGCTATTTAAAACTACATATCACATTTTATTTTTATTTTTATTTAAAATTATATCAAACACAAGTAAATCATGTCTGACGAATTTAAATGAGAGGATATGGATAATAAACAAATTCGTAACCTTTATCGAAATTATAGTTTACTCATGATAATCCTTATTAGGCTAATTTAGTATTCACTTTATCTGCATTTATTCCCCTCCCCCCTATAGAATTATCGAAATTATATTTTACTCATAATAATCCTTTTTAGGCTAATTTAGTATCACTTTATCTGCATTTATTCCCCTCCCCTTATTAGGCTAATTTAGTATTCACTTTATCTGCATTTATTCCCCTCCCTCCTATAGAATTATCGAAATTATATTTTACTCATGATAATCCTTTTTAGGCTAATTTAGTATCACTTTATCTGCATTAATTCCGCCCCACCCCCCAAATATTCAGATTCCGCATGATTTCTTTTTGGTGGACCAATGCAATATGTGTATCAAATTATGATAATAAAATTCAATTTTCACACAATACACACACACACATGATTTACCAATTATAGAAATTTAATTAAAATATAATCAACAATTAAAGTAATTATATAATGATTTTAATGCCAAGACCTTGTGGTCTAATGGCACCAAGATTACATTTTCATATGGGAGGTTGTGAGTTCGAGAGCTTCAGTGTAAGTGAAAAAAAAAACTACATTGTAATAGAGTTAATAATATTCAAAAAATAATAATGGTTTTAACAAAATGATAGTTAAAGAATAGGAAAAAGATAGATATAGGTGTATGATAGAATTATGAAAGTTAGAATTAAATAGTAACTTTTGTCTAATAAGAATGTAGTAGGGACAATTTTATCCATTATAATTGAAGTGTACAACATTTAATGAAAAATGTATGCCTTTATTTGTATACAAACATAAGTATTGACACAAATGTGTCTATAGCTTTTTTTTTTTTTTTTTTTTTTTTTTTTTTGAATGTAAATGTGTCTATAGCTTAATGGGTAAATCTCTTACTTTCTAACTTATATATCTATTATAGATTTCTTTAAACTGAGTACTGATCAGTACTTCGGATTAAGACCGAACCGAACCAATGCGATTCGGATTACCTGAACTGGAATGCCAGCCCTAGTGGTGATCATGGGGCATTCAAATATGTAGGTAGGTGAGTAATTATCAATTTGAGTAATTAATCCATCAAAAAGGTGCTTTGCTTCATTTTCTTTGGATGTAAAAGTCTAATGAAAATTCTCCATTGAGTGCTTTAGGAGTAGACTTATTATTTTTTCCATAATAAGATGTAATAATGCTAGTTAGGTAGACCATTACAATGGCAATATAAAGTACAAAATTAAACATAGTATTAGCAACCATTAATTATGGGTTTAAATTTTAGGTGACATGCATATTAATTAACATTCAACGATGATGATATAATAACGTTATATATTAATTACAATTGCTTTTTCTTAAAATGGCCGTTTAAAATTGAAGATCCATTTTATTTATTTTCTTTAGATTTGTATTAAACACAATTATGATCATGTGTGATAGATTTAAATGAAAGGATATTGATAATAAACGAATTCATAATCTTTATCGAAATTATATTCTATTCACATGATTATTCTTTTTGGGCTAATTTAATACGAGTATCATGCTATTTCCATTTAATCTCCTCCTTCCCTATATAGAAATTAAAAAATTCAGATTCCGTATGATTTTTGTTGGGTGGACCAATGCAATATGTGTATCAAATTATGATAATAAAATTCAATTTTCACACCATATTATAGGTAGCCTAGACTAGTATCCAATCCCCAAAAAGGAAAAAATCATTATTCTAAGTCATGGGAATAAAAAAAAGGGAAAATGGCACTTTTTACCCCTATGTTATATACTTATAGCACTTTTTTCCCCTCAATTATTTATGTAAGCACATTAGCCCCCTCAATTATTTTAAAAGTGGTGATTTTCCCCCCTAATATATTAAATTGACATTTCTACCCTTAAAGTAAACATTTTATTTATTTTACTTCTCCAACAAATTATTGCGTATATGTAGCAATTACCACGGTTCGGTTCGAACTGAACCAGACACTATAGCAATCGAATTAAAAGTTTTCAGTTATGATTCAAATCTAGAACCCAATATTTGGATTTCAATTTATTAAATTTAAGAATAAAAAAAACTGGATCATGAACCGGCGGTTCCGGATCCCGTTCGCGATTTTGAACCGTCTTTATTTTAAAATTTTATTTTTTATTTTAAAATAGTTTAAATTCAACAATAAATGTATTTTATTTTTTCAGTTCGGAACATGAACCGGCCATTCCAGTTCGCGATTTTAATAAACTCTAAATATCGCGTTTTGATTATAAATTGTAATTGGAATATTTTGGTTTGGTTACTATAGTATCTGGTTTGAACCAAATTATAGTAATAATTTATTGGAGAATAAAAATAAATGAAATATTTATTTTAAGGGTAAATATGTCCATTTAACATTTCAGGGAGAAAAAGAGCCACTTAAATAATTGAGGGGGAAAAAGTGCTATAAGTATATAACATAGGGGGAAAAAGTACCATTTTCCCTAAAAAAAATATTCAATATTAAAAAACAGTTAAATATCCCCAAACCAATAAGAATAATCCTTAAAAGAGTTCCTACATCTTTTAATATTCACTGATCAATTTTATCCTAAAATGTCTAAAATATATTCATTTTAACTTAACTTTACCATATGTCATACATGACATTTTTAATACTTTGAATTGAATTTAGTTGATTACAATAAATAGAAACTGTCTGTAGTAGTTAGGTAGTCACCGGTGAATTATTAATGTAACCGTAATCTGATAAATTATTACTCACACGGGCTTCACTCACGATTAATAGATAGTATTTAGGATAAGATATTAATGTTCAAACCTCGACAATAATCTCACCCATTAGTAATGGTTATACATATATATTAATTTTAATTTGACCAAAAAAAAGAATAAAAAATTATCCTGGAATTTCTTTGGGCCGAAGAAATCTAAAAAAGGGCCGAATAAAGCCCAAATTATGAGGATTGCTAAATGCTGAGTCATTAATATTAATTGCAACCTAATCCGCTGGATAGCAGCTCCTTCGTCTAGAAGTCAAGGAGGGATCACGGTTTGAACGTTCGGTGTGAAATTCCTCATTTGCCCTTAGTATGCACGCCAATGTTGCTGTGCCCATCAACAGAATCTATAAATAGGGAGGCGGCAAAACTTTCTTCTTCAGGAGTTCTGGGTGTTCAGTCCTCACAGAGCTTCTCGTTTGATCTTTTGTACAGAGGATCTATAAATAGAGAGCGTAGGTTTGTTGTTGTTGTTTTTAATATTTTGTTTTTTTCTCTCTCTCTCTCGAATTCGGCCATGGATTTGAAATCGAAGGATGTGAAAGTGACGGCGAAAGCTGTGGTGTCCGGTAAGGAGGAGACGGAGGAGGAGATCGGCGTCGTTTCGCGCGTTGTAGATAGCGGTAGGATTGCGGTTACGATTCCGGTTTCCGTCCCCGCGAAACTCGTGTCGTTGGGGCCGTCATTTGCTCCGGCGCAACTGCTGCTTCAGAATTACTCGAATTTCAAGCGGAGCGGAGAACCGGCCCGGTTCATGCGATACGTTGAGGAATCGTGGGTGGACGTTGAGGCGGAGGTTTGTGAGGCAGTGAAAGCGGGGTTTTCGAAGGGCGTTTCGTCTGTCGAGACTGAGATTGGAGGCTGGAAATGTGTTACCGACTTGCACCGAATGATCGAAGTCAATCTGGACACTGGGGCTTTCCGATCGGTTGCATGGATTGATGTGAACGGTATGTGCTTTTTCCCCAAGTCTCTCGTTTGCTCCCATGACGGTGACAATGGTTTGGTTAATTTGGGCGAGGACCCAAAGAATGAAGTTGTTGGGAATGCCAATGAGAGCCAGTACTTGGTGCAACAGAAACTTGAAATTGAGATTAACTTTACTGATGATTTGCAAAATGAAGCGAACCCTGATAACGAGGCGAAATTAAATAAGCGAAAGAGGGAGATGATAGAGCCTGAGGGAAGTTCATCTAACGAAAAAAGGAAAAATGTCCAAGAGTGTGAATTTGTTTCCCCCAGGTGGCCAAATACGAGGGTGATGGGAGAGCAGGAGGTAGGGTATCAGATAGTGAGGAGTTTGTTTCTCCCAGGTATGGCAGCTGTGGGGCCAGGTGCTATGGTCACTGCCATTCATCAACGTTTGAGGAAACGTGGTTCGATGGAGAGAGCTGAATATGATGCTTTCCGGATGCAGGCAGGACTCGTGAGACAAGCTAGAGGAAACACTGATGTTGTTTTCGCATGGTTTGGAACAACAGTACAGGGGGTGCAGAGTATTATGACTCATGGATTTGGAACAACAACTGGAGTGATGTCTGGTTTTGGGCTTCTGGGTGTTGGTTTATACTTGTCACCTGTTCGATCACCTCGAATGAGGTATGCACTATGCAGTCTTTGCATAATGAAAATATTTTAGGTGCATGGGAGGTTATTAATATTTGGATGTTGGGTTGGTTACATTTGGTTTGACACTTTGACATGTTATTCTCTGTTTTTTTAATTCTATGTTTTTAGTCTTTGATCTTTTTGGTTGTCTCTTTAGTGCACTGACGGCGCAAGTAGATGCAAATGGTGAAAAACATTTAGTTTTGTGTCGAGTTATACTGGGAAAGTGTGAAAAGATTGAGATAGGTTCTTTGCAATTGAGCCACTCAAGAATGGATTTTGATACCGGGGTGGATGATCTGATAAATCCGCAATGGTATGCAGTGTTGCGTGCCAACCGTGTTATTCCAGAAGGTGTTCTTAGCTACAGGCCTGCTAATGTAGTGCCGGGTAATTTCTTTGTTTCTTGGTATTTACTTGCATTGAGCATTGAGTAGTGTTACATATTTCAAAATTGATTTTATAGGCCGTTTGACTGCTGTTCCATCTCGCATGTTTGCCCCAAATGCTGCATCTGCCTTTTATCTAAGGCTGATTTCCAAGCTGATGATCTCGCTTCCACCACCAAAGGTGCAGGCGTTGCAAATTCTGTATAGCTCATTGATGGTTAGTATAGTTGAATTTTTTGATGCGTAGGTTTTGTTCAGTCAAAGATATCCGAGAACTCTACAGTAAATAGAGTTAATATTGGTTGAAAATTCTTGTTTGTGTGCTTAACTTTTTTTTTTTTTCCTTTCATATGTTTCACAGGCTGGGAAACTTGGGAATGATGGTTTCATGAGAGTACTAGGATCAATAGTTGGGGATGAGGTGCTGCGCTCAACTATTCAGCAAATTCGTGGCTGAGAGAGATTTTCTTGGTTTTAGTTGGAAGGACTTTGAAACTGCTATAATTGACCCCAAAATAAAAAAATAAAAAAAATCTTATACTAGAACAAGTAGATGTAATGGATGATAGGGATCTTAGAGGCAAAAGCCTTAGAGAGAAACATAATCTAGCTTTTGAACTCTAGTGATATTTTACTTTTGTTGTAGAAGTGAAAAACTTCCCTGTTTTCTTTGTTGTAGTGCAACATTTGAACTTCTTTACTTATGTGTTTGGAACTTGAAAGTTCTCTCTCCCGACTTATTTCATATGCTTGCAACTTGTGTGAGAAAAACTGGGTGCATGCAAGATCTTTACCTCTCACCGTATTATTGGGTTTACAGACATGAGTGCATGTCTTATGTGCAAACCTTATTTAACCATATGAATGCAAGTAAAGTTCTCTTTTGTTTGTCTGAAAAAGGAAGGCCAATAAAGAAACATAGATTACTTGCTGAATTTGTTTGTCTATACACATATAGACTGACAACTATTACAGAGCAAAGAAAAATAGTAAGAATGGCCTTCAGGTAGGAATCTCACTTTCATTAATATCATTTTAATTAATAAATTTGGGCAATTAGTGGACTTGTTGCTGTTTTACCAAGTGGAAATTGCAATGCTGCAATTCAAGTTATGATTGATTTCAAGAAATGATTTGATGTTATGCTTGTGTCTCTTTTTGTACAGACAAACATACACATGTATGTATATGTGTTTATATATGTATATGCATATGTATATTTATATCCCTACTTAAATTTGTTTGATAAACTCTGCCACTGTCCATCTACGGATATAATAAGTCTTTGTTGTGTTTCTAAACCTTTGTCATGGAAGAACATTTGTGCATAGGTGAAACTTTAATATTTGACCTTACTCTTACTATTTTTGTACATCAAATTCTTGACATTACTATCAAGCTTTTCTGGTATGTAATACTGCATTCCATTCATTAGAGTGCTCTTGTAATAGAATTTGAGTTCTCCATGTGCATTGCCATTTATTTTAATGCTATTTTTAGAAATTCCCCCCATGAGTCTTTTTCGTTTTGTGTTGATTCTGTGTGACTATGATTGAAGACAATTGCTATATTCTATAGAATTATTGGGGATTTGTAATACAATTTTAGAAAAAAGACAACTTAGCTAAAATATCTTTGGCTATAGTGTGTGCATGGATGAATTTTTCGATGGCAGGCTAATGGAGTAAATATGCAAAGAGGGTTTTGTCTTCAGTTACAAGTTGAAGCTGCAAGAGATGCAACGGGACATTCACCAGGTAGAAGATGCTCTCCCTCTTTGTTCTCTCTTCAATTTGCAAGCTTTTTGTATGCACAATACGTAAGAGTTTAGTTGTGGCTTGACATGTTTACATGGTTTAACTGGAATATAGGGAAAGGCAAAGTAAAACCCTTACTCTGTCAATACTTGAAGTCGTGATGTTGCCTGTATATCATCCTGCTTTTGTTGTGCTCTATGAACCCCTAATTTCCTATTATGACAACTAATGAAGTTATAAGTTGATTACTTGGGAATGGATCATGACTAATCCAGTCAATCATTGTTGTTTTTGGTGTAATCTAGTAGGCTCTAGAAGCTCTCTTTTTGTGTATGTAGTGCTGTGTGGAACCAGGAAATGCTAATCTGAGCCATAATATCAACTGTAGTTTTCATGGCATCCACTTGTTGAGGCGGCCCCAGCTTGCATAATGCATGAGCAGAATGAATCCTCCAAATATGGAGGAAACCTATTGGGGAGATACGACAAACCTTGGTTCTGCACTTGTGCTTGTAAAAGGTGATCATCTATAGTGCAATGAGCATTTATGAATCTCTTTTGCTTTTGGCCCAATGACTAAAAGCATCCATACTTTTGCAATAAGCATTCTTGCTGAGACTGGATTCCATGAAGCATAGTAACATATATACACACGCGCATGCACAGGCTTCACATTTCCAGCCACCTCGTGGCACACATGATGTGTCCTGTGGAGAATTAATGATGAGATGTTGCGAGTTGGTTTTTAGGTATGCTATCACTTATGCGATTTCATGAGAAAGAATTTGCAGGAGGAGAGAGTGACGAGGACTATAAACCAAGGCAAATTGCAAGTGCGAGGGGCCTCCTGGTTGCTATCACTGCTTGCCACTTCACACTTTCTTTATACTGTTGGTGGTGGCCTGGTACTGTCTTGTAAAAGAGAAAGGTTGAATTGGAACGTGTTACAGGAGAAAAATCCCAGGTCCATGTTCACCATTCCTTTTACGGTTTTACCTCCTTTACCTGTTTAGTTAATTGAATTGAAAAAGGTAAATAGTGTTCTTTTTATATTATATCATTGTCATTTTCCTCTCTAAAAGTGGAATATTTTGGGCATGTTACATGTCCTTTATTGGTGTATCACAAATATGCTATGGTAGATCTTTGGTAAACAAGTTATGTTGAGTAGAAGGATGTATCATATATGTTAGTATTAGGTAACAATTTAAGACAGGTAGAGTTGTCAACGGGCTAGCTCGTTATGTTAGTATTAGGTAATAGTTTAAGATAGGTAGAGTTGTCAAAATGGGCTAGCTCGTTACGGGTTGGGTTCAATCTTAGCATATTTAAACTGGATTGGGATATTCAACCCAACCCGTGTAGCCGCGGGCTAAAGACGGGAAGCTTATGATTGTCTCTATTTTGGTCAGTACAATGTAAGTGAAATAGAATTAAAATTTCTAACATGAAAAAAAAGTGAATGTTTGTCAAGAATAAAATCGGGTGGGGGATTCCTCGTCATGGATGACTGGATGACTAGTAGACACTCGACACTAGTTATCGTAATTTATATCTCCTCAATTTTATATGGTCGAAAGCTATGGAGGCGAGGGACTTCGCCTTTTGAAGGTAATAATTATCAAATGTCATCAAGTATTTTATGCAAGGGTTGATCTAAGAAGATGCAAAGTCTTTTGTTTCACCTGGGTCTTCCTTCATATGACATGTAGTGACCTCTCTCATAGGTCATGAGATCGAGCCTCAGTGGAGGCGTTGTTGACTCTGTGTGTTTTATTAGATTGGGAAAGTATGTTTGAACCATACTACAATGTAATAGAGTCAGTAGCATTAAAAAAAAAAAGATTGAACAAAAACTAAATTGCAATAATTAATAACATGAATTTTCGGAGTCAACTCCATTAAAAGGGGGAAATAATAGAAATAAATTAACTCGAAGAATATAATAATATATAATGTAATGCATGTACTATACATATAAGTTCGCACAGGTTACGTTGTAGTTATCGTTTTCATGAATACAGACGAGGATGTTTGTTAGGTCATTACCAATAACAGGTTCTATATATCTCTTTCTTCTTTATTATATTTAAATTTAATTTATTTTTCTTGAAATTAAAAATAAAGCACCAGATAATACAGAACAGACAACAGCTATATGATAAGTTTGCTTAGGCATAGGTTCTTGGTTACGTTAAAGGATAAAGTTAGATAACACACACAAGAAAATGATCACGACATTAACTTAAAATTATCTGTTTTTGTGGGAGTATGATTCTTATATCAGAAAGTCACAAGTTTAATCCTTGTCAAAGGGAGCATGATTCTCATATTAGAAAGTAATGATGAGTCCAATTCTTGTCAACATGTTCTCGGTTTAGCTCGTCACATAAGGTATTTATAGTACATTTTATCTCTAACACGAATTATTATATAAAAGCAGGGTTTATCCAGTACATATTCGCACATTATGATTGGCGTACTGCGGTTTCTCTATAAAAAAAAAAAAAAAAAAAATCATAGGCGGTGCTGCATGTATTTTCTGTGTATGTCCACGTATACTTGCATTCAGATCGCCATATCTGATAAAATCTTTAAATTATTGTAACACCTTGGTCTGAATGTCCTAATCTGAATTAATTACGTAGCACCCCACTAAAATGAATGATAAATATCAACATGTCTGGTTAATCCAAACATATCAACTTCTGCCTACTTCATCATAAGGGAAGACTACCTAACCCAATAAAACTAGTTTTTGTATTTATTTTATTTTATTTTATTTTATTTTTTACTTTTTATGGCAATTCTGATGTAATTTCATATAATATAATATACATACTTTTTGTCCGATTCTTCCAACATTTGTTAATTCATTCGCAAGATTTTTACTGCAAATGTCAAGATAGTTTAACGTTTATGGGCTGGTTCTGAACCATCCCACTTGAGACATGTTAGGGTTGAGGATTATTTGGACGGCAAAGAAACATGCCTTACTATCTTGATTCACTAACCTGCCTTGAGTGAAATTAAAACCTAAAAATATTGGTCCATCAGCTAACTCATGAAACTTTTAATTAATTGGAGGTGAACTGATAGACGTTAATATCGATCAAGCTGTTAAGGTGGGCCAAAGCTTATGGCCGGACTATGAGTCTCATCCCTTTCTTAGGACGAGTTAGGGTTAAGATTTTTTGAACTACTATTAAGAAACCGGCCTTACAATTTCGACCCACTAACATGCATAGATATTAACGTCAAATTCATTTTCTAAAGGGTAGCAATCATCTGCAGCAAAACATGGAACATCAAGCTTATTGACTTCCTCACATAGTGCAGTTTGCTTGACTGCTATGCATGGGATTTTGGGAGAATAATTCCACATTGATACTCCCATAGTCCCATGTAATTGACCTCTTCACTCTAACCTCTCTCTCGTCAACTTTAATTAATACGGAGTACCACTCAACATATCATCATATTATATTATTAAAATATGGACAATTTCAGCCAAGTTGTTAGGACTATTAAATATTCTAGCTTGTTTATTAAAGTGTAAAAAATTAATTTTGTGTTGAAAAAGATATAGTAAAAACTCATACTTTTCCGGACAACACAGATCACTAAAAAGGTGAAGTTTTTGCATAATTTTTGATTGGTTTCTTTTTCTTTTTATTTTTTTATTTAAAGAAAAGAAAAGAAAAAAAGAGATGGGAAGAGAGTGAAAGTGGATGCGCCAGATGGAGGCAGGATGATGGATGGTAGTGATGAGTGAATGTGAATCTTATTATTCTTATTTGATAAATCATTAACAAAAACATAAATAGTTGAAATTGAAATAAAATAAAAGGGATATGGTAGTACCATATCTGACAAATGATGTCCAACTATACAAGATCAGATAAGATTCATCAACACATGAATATCATGTGGATTCCTCCCACTGTTGATTATATTGTACTACCAGCAATTTTACTTTTATTATTATTAAAATAATAATATTACATTTTTCTCATGATTTCATCCATAATTTTTAATTTCTTTCTTGTTGTGCAATAATATTTGATTGATACAATGATACACACACGTAAAATTTAGGAAAAAAAAACATAGAAACCACACATATTAAGGGAAAAAAAAAAAAAGATAAATACGTAAAAAAACAAGTGTGTTCCACGTCAGTTTTAGCGCGTTAAACAATTGGATCACCTTTCTGGCGCAAAACTGTTTTAATTAAATACGGAGTATTAAATAATAATAATAAATAAAAAAAAATTAAAGGTGGCGTATAGTCTGCACAATGTGGGTGTGAGCGCTATAAAGGAACAGAACCGCCCTTCCACGCGTTGCATTACCTTCCTCTTCTTAAGTTTTCCTTCAACCGCGCTTTCATCAATTCTCTCTCTCTTTCTCCCTCTCCTCTCTGAATTCGATTCGTGTATGCAACCGGATTTGCTCTGTTTCTTCCCGCGATCCATCTCTTCCCGGATTGGTGGTTGTTTCGTATTCTTGAATTTCGGTTTAGAATAACGAAAAGGCAGAATTTTGGATCGTTTGTTGGGTTCTGTTGTTGAATTCGGGTGTTGGGTATATAATTATATATAAATATATATTGTGAAAGGGGGAGGGGATTTCTTTCAGGATGAAGGTGAAAGGCGAGATTGTTGGGTATAAGGGTGTGGTGGAAGAGGAGGAGAGAAGGGAGGAAATGGAGGAGATTGTGGCGGTGCCTAAGAAGTACACGGTGGTCGGAGGGTTTCCCCAGACACACCCCATGAAGGTGGTGGTGGTGGGGTATGCTCTCACTTCCAAGAAAATTAAGAGCTTTTTGCAGCCCAAGCTTGAAGGTTTAGCTAGGTAATATTCTTTTTTTTTTTTTTCTTCCCCTCGTCTTTAAGATAACTTTAAATGTTTGCAGCCGTAATAACCAGTATTCAGTGTCCAAAGTTTTTTTTTTGGTTGTTGCAAATCTGGAAGTTTTATGATGCCTTAATCCCTTCAATACATGCCAACAGATTGAAACTTTTTATATTTTTTAAAAAAATCGTTTTGGAATGCAATTTACTGCCTAAATTCCCGAGTTTGAGGATTCCGGATTGTAGTGAAATTCATAATTTTCTTGCATCTTCTTATTTTCCTATTATGTCACTTTTGCTGGGGGGAAAGGGATCTGAGTTATAATTTTGTTCTGATATGAGATCGATTCGTTTTAGAGAGAGACAGAGAGATGAAAGGGAATAAAATAACTATATTTTGCGGGAGCCATTAATTAAATTTCTTAAATTTTCAACAAATATCTGGAATATGAATATTCTGGAAGGTATATACTTTATGTCGTGTGGCTCTCTTTTCTGAAGAGAACTTAACCTTGGAAGATATTTCTAATGCTTCTTGTTTATGTCATTTTTAACATTAATTGTATGTCATTAGATAGAATATTATTAGTCCTTTTCTGTATTTGGAGACAGACCATAAGTGATGACTTATTGGACCTCTTTAATATTTCGATTTAGAGTATGCCAGTTATGCAAATTTACCTGGATCCCACATCTCAAGCATTATGTTATGACTTATGACAATGGTTGCATACATGTCCAGCTGTATATCATGTTCCTTTTCGTTTGATCACTCTTCAACGATGAACTTTTCTCTTATGAACTGTATTGGTTTGTTGTTCCACAATCTTTGGGGAAACCTTAAACGTAACGGTTGTTTGACTTTTGGTTTGGATATCATTCAATACCATGACTAAAGTAATAGTTTATGTCGTGATGAGAATTGGGATTGCAAAGGGACTAACTATTGGCTATAACCTATGTGATTCTTGTGGTTATGTTTTTTCGGATTTCTCTCAGTTCCTGTATCATTTACTGCTGAAAATTTAGTGTCTCGGCTGCAATTGAGTGACTGATTGTGCTTATATAAAATGCAGAAACAAGGGAATATTATTTGTTGCTATAGATGAAAGCAGGCCTCTTGCAGACCAGGGTCCTTTTGATATTGTGCTCCATAAGGTTAAGTTGATTTGATATGTCATTTTTTCCCAGTGTGTTTTCTTTATGTGTCTCTCAATTTCGTTTCTGTATAATCGTTTCCTATTTCACCTGACTTTTCTCTCGTTTCATTCTTCTGTTGATGCAGTTAACCGGAAAGAAGTGGCAGAGTATACTTGAGGTTGGTTCTGGAAAATTTGTACTTTTACTGCATTTGCTAGTTTATGTGTGTTATTAGGAAAAAAAAAATAATGGCAATATGTAGGATATGTCAAGCAATCTATTGAAGTGGATTAGATACATAGGCAGTGACTGATGGGAAACGAGACGTCTTCTTGCTTAGAAGTTAGAACTTATTCCCGTCTGACATAACTTGCAGACTGCTTGCTCTTTCCTTCATCATGAATCATGACTTGATAATTGAGGTCGAAGGATTCTGGCAAGGGAGGATCTTTCTCCTTCATGGACAGATTAGCTGGTTTACAGGTTTCTCAAGTATATTGTACAAAGGATCCTTGTATTAAAATGGATATTTTCCCAGATTTGATGCCAACATCATATCGGCTTATGAGGAGAGGGCTAACATAATCGATGTTTAAAAAAAAAATATTTGGTATTTTCTGTTATAGACGTTTTATATCTTCCGTTGTTGGTTTAGGGTGTCATTTTTTGTGAACTTGTTGAATCACAAAAAACTATAAATATTTGACGAGAACCTTTCATATTTCTTTATTCTTATCTATTCGTTCCCTCTTTGCAGGACTATAGGATGAAACATCCAGACGTCACAGTCCTTGATCCTCCAGATGCAATAAAGCACGTATACAATCGTCAATCCATGCTTCAAGATGTCGCAGCCTTGAAGTTTTCAGATGCATATGGTAATCCTTTGGAGATATATTTCTGTGATCATTACTTATATGCAACTTCTCTTTCCTCGAGAGAAATTTGGGAGGATTTTTTGCTTGGCCGTTGATTTTTCTTGGTTACAAATAAATGAAGAATATGTTTTTCATTCCATGCAGGAAAAGTTTGCGTTCCCAGGCAGTTGGTTATTGAGGATGATCCTTCCTCGATCCCCGCAGCTGTGAGTAAAGCTCAGCTGAGATTTCCTCTTGGTGAGCGTCTACTCTATGTTCGTCTATGTTTTGTATCGCATGTTTTTTGTTTTTTTGTTGGGCATTATTATGTCGGTGTGTGACAATACATTATTTCTTACACCAACTGTTCTGTCTTTCAGTTGCAAAGCCGTTGGTTGCAAAATCACACGAGTTATCACTGGCCTATGACGAACTTTCCCTTCAGATACTTGAACCGCCACTTGTGCTGCAAGAATTTATCAACCATGGTATGTTGACTAACTTCGCTCAAACCCACCCGGCCTTCTTTCATAGAACCATTGAAACGTGTCATGGGTTCTGTCTTTTGATTTGTACGTTTTTCTTTGTTATAGGCGGTGTCATGTTTAAGGTTTATATTGTCGGGGAAGCAATTACGGTGGTCAGACGATTTTCATTACCTGATGTCTCTAGACGCGAGTTATCGAAGAATGCTGGTGTGTTTCGCTTTCCTAGGGTTTCTTGTGCAGCTGCCTCCGCAGATGATGCAGACTTAGACCCTCGCGTTGCTGGTGAGCTTATTACTTATATTCGTTTGTCTCGATTTGGTTTCACTCGTCACCTTTTTCGCCTCTTTATACGGGCAATAACATGTTACGTTTCATCGTACAGAACTCCCTCCACGTCCGTTGCTTGAGAGACTTGCTAGGGAGCTTCGTCGTCGACTGGTATTCCGATATTACTTTTGTTGTTTTAATCATAAGAGTTCGAGGAAGGAGATAAATTAGTTGTCGTTTTATTCCTTCTTTCTCACATTGGAAGTTACTATGTTCTATGTAGGGCCTTCGGCTCTTCAACCTGGATATTATTAGAGAGCACGGAACCAAGGACCGGTATTATGTTATAGATATCAATTATTTTCCAGGTAATCAGAACTTGAACACGAATTAGGTGAATGATTGGAATTTTTCAAAATTTATGCTATATTACGTTCTAAACGCCCTGCATATTACAGGATACGGGAAAATGCCAGAATACGAACACGTGTTTACGGATTTTCTCCTCAGCCTGGTGAAGCACAAGTAGTAAGTAAGGTGGTTCTGGCCAGAATAAGATAGATGGCAGCACGACGAGAGAGAGACAATGCAACAAGGCCGCTACAAGCAACAGGGGCACTAGTATACGTCTAACATAAGAGCGGGGAGTTTCAGAAGCTGGTTCGAAACACGTGCAGAAAAAACAAAATGGAAGCGCGTTTGATCACTGCAGAGGCCCAATGGATCCTTGTTCAGAAGCGATGAATTTCGTTCCCTATATTCAAGTTCGATCTCCTCACTAGCTCTGTTCTTCATGTTTTGTCCATTTATCCCCTTTTCTTGTCTTCTACCATTCCCATTCTTTTTTTGGCTTAAGGGGGGGAGGATTTGTCTGCAAATTTTAGCTCTCTTTGGTATTTGTCTAAGTAGGTGGATTCACAAAGCAAAGCAAGCTTAGTCCCTTGTAAATTCCCTTTTGTTTACTCTGTATCTGAGAGTGCAAATGGTTGTATTGACTTTGTAAATCCCCTTTTCTTCAGAATAAAATGTCCATTTTTCCTTCTTTTTGGTCCTCTTTTTCATTGCCTCACATTTTCTTGCTGCAATATTTGGGCTTGACTTTTTTTGCTTGTAAGGCTTATTTATCACCAGAAGTATGTTGTGGAAGAGGGACCATCTATCTAGCGAAATATTGTGGTAATGGTATAGCTGGAATACCAGTACTTTATTTGCACTTTTCTTCCTGGCCTTACTATTCTAATTGGATGAGCTGGAAATAGAACAAGAAGATTCGAGGCACTTGGTTTAAGTCAGAGCTGTTAACAAATTGATCACGAACAAATAGAGGTTTTTCGTGTTTGTTTGTTAAGGTTTTTGAAAATCATATTCGTGTTCGCTTGCTAAGCGTTCATTAGTGTTTGTTAACGTTCGCGAACATGTACGCAAACGTGATTGTTAACTTTAACGAACACGTTCACAAACGTGATTGTTAACATTAACGAAATACGTTAACGAACATGTTCATTAACGTTTGCGAATGTGTTCGTGAACGCTCAATACCTAAACGCATGCATATGTTTATGATCACAATGCGTTCGTGAACAACAAATAATACAACCAATAACTAAACAAACAACATAACAACTATATATATATATATATATATATATATATATATATATATATATATATATATATATATGGATTGAACATGTTCATAAATATTATTAACAAAAACTAAACGAGTTTGTTCGTGAACATTATTAAACGGATACCTAACGAGCTTGTTCATGAGCTCCTAGCAAACAAGTCTATAATTGTTCAGTCTTTGTTCGTTTATGAATAGAACACTAAAATTTGTTAATTCATATTAATTTATCTTAATAAATAAACATAAGAGAACACTTATTGAATACGAACACGAGTAGTTTATCGAAAGCTCTGTTTGCTAACACCTCTAGATTTAACCAAAAATGTATGTTTGCTTGTATTGTATACTGTGTGAAAAAATTAGCTTATACGTTTAGAGCAGTAGGTACTTTGAGCACAAGTTGAAGGCAATTTATACTGTAAACTATAAGTAAATGTTAATTTTAATATAATAAAGAAATATTATTGTATATAAATAATGTACTTTTAAAAAATAAATATTTAATGTATTAAAAATAAATTTTTATGTATTTTAAGTATATTAAAAATGTGTCCGAGTGGTTCATCTTACAGATTATGATCCATGGTACAAATTTTGAAACAAGTTTACAAGTAACTAAAGGGTGTTGCTGATTATATTAAGGCCTCATGCTGACGACTAAGTGCATGCTATTCTCTTGTGATAACCGGGTGGCACGTTTCAGACGGGCGAAATAATCCTGGCAATCCACGTGTCCGTCAACGGGAGACTAAGCTGTCACCGCACACAGCATTTCTGAATCCAACGGCCACGAAATTTCCCCACACAGCCACTGATAACATTTCGTCACGTGGGCCCCATCTATGGTTATGCAAGGAGACAAAAGACGGGCCCAAAAGCGTGATTTCATGTGTGACAAACTAGGACACAGGGGTCATTTTACGGAAAATAAGCAAAGGGCATTCTGGGCAAAGAAAACACATGAGATACCGTCAACATAAAGTCCGGCTGGCATGAAACCAAATCCAGGCTGTGCACAGCTGTAGTCCAACCACACGCACAGTGGGTGTTTGTTTAATTTTTTCCGCCAAATTATAATTAAAAAATAAAAAATAAAGAGGGTTTTTTGTTTCGGTTCGGTTACCAGAAAGAGAGAAAGGAAAAAGAGTTTTCTTCTCCCCCTTCGATCCTTTTCTCTCTCTCTCTTTCGCTGCAGAAATTGCAGATAAGAGTTGTACGTTCGAATGAGAGAGAAAGTGATGAAGATGATAGATAGTGTCGTTCAGTACAGTTCGTTTCTTCTTCATCTTCTCGCCGGCTCACATTAGCATAGCATATACTGTTGTACGCTGCTTTTGTATTTCTTCCGCTTAGTAGTGTTTTACGGGTTTGTTTGTTGTTGTGCGCACTTTGAGGATAAGGAGGTGAGTTTTGTCGCCGTAGGGCACATTGGTGGGGATGGATCCGTGTCCTTTCGTGCGGCTAACTGTAGGTAATCTGGCGCTTAAGATTCCGGTGGCTTCCAAGCCGGCGCGTACCGTAGTGCATCCTTCGTCGTCGCCCTGCTTTTGTAAAATCAAGCTGAAGAGCTTCAGTGTGCAGGCCGCCGTGGTGCCGCACATTCTGCCGGATAGCCAGTTAACGGACGGGCAGGTGCAGCCGCTGGCTGCGACTTTCCATCTGAGTAAGTCGGATCTCGACAGGCTCGCGGCCAAGTCACTCTTCGGCGGGAAATTGCACCTGAAAATCTCGATCTACACCGGCCGGAGAGGTACGAACTGCGGCGTTAACTCCGGGAGGCTTCTAGGGAAGGTGTCTGTGCCGGTAGATCTCACGGGGGCGGAATCTAGAGCTGTGGTGTTCCACAACGGTTGGATTGCGGTTGGGAAGGATGCGAAGAACTCCAGCGCGCAGTTCCACATGAATGTGAAGGCCGAGCCTGACCCGAGATTCGTTTTTCAATTCGACGGCGAGCCAGAATGCAGTCCTCAGGTGTTCCAAATCCAGGGAAACATTCGTCAACCCGTTTTCACCTGCAAGTTCAGTTTCCGGACCACTGCAGACAGGAATCAACGGTCCAGGTCCGTCCTGTCTTCTCACTTATTTTACTTTTTATTTTTTCCCGTTTTCCTTTACAAACCGACATGCTTCATGAGCACAATTACACTGGAAATTGCCGAGTGGTACGGTAAAGGAGGGCTTGTTCCATACATATGTGGTGATGTGTTCTAAAACTGGGGGAGGGAACATTAAGGAATCAAATTTAAAGCTAAAAGATGTAGTTGTATTTAAATCTTCGGCGTCACTGGACAAGTGTTCATGTTTAAAGTGAAGATACGAAGCTTTTAAAACTTTAGCCCTTAACAAACTTTTCTTAGGTTGAGGTTAATTTGATTCAATTACTATTTGAAAATTCGATTACTGTTTTCAACAACGACATTCTTTGCTTCCTGCAGTTTCTTTTCTGATCAACTATCAATCAGTATTGAAGTATTGAACTGTTTGTCATTTATTTTTTACCGCATTGTACAGATCATTGCCGTCTGAGCAAAGCGGTCCGAGAGGTTGGTTGAGTTCATTCGGAAGCGAAAGGGAGCGGCCAGGGAAGGAGCGGAAAGGATGGTCAATTACAGTTCATGATCTTTCCGGTTCACCGGTTGCCGCTGCATCAATGGTGACTCCATTTGTTGCCTCTCCCGGTTCGGACCGGGTGAGCCGGTCTAATCCAGGATCCTGGCTGATTCTCAGGCCCGGAGACGGTACATGGAAGCCGTGGGGCCGCTTAGAGGCTTGGCGCGAGCGAGGCTCAAACGACGGCCTCGGCTACCGCTTCGAGCTGATTCCGGACTCCGCCGCATCCGGAATCGTCCTGGCGGAGTCGACGCTGAGCTGCAGCAAAGGCGGGAAGTTCTCGATCGACCTGGCGTCGTCGTCGAGCGGGTCGACGAACGGTACGAGAACGCCGAGAAATGCAACGTCGCCGGCGTGCAGCCCACGCGGCAGCGGCGATTTCGGTTACGGCTTGTGGCCGTACTGCGTGTACAGAGGGTTCGTGATGTCTGCGAGCGTGGAGGGAGAGGGAGCGGGAAGCAAAGGACGAAAACCAACGGTGGAGGTTAGCGTGCAGCACGTGAACTGTACTGAGGACGCAGCGGCTTTCGTGGCACTGTCAGCAGCAATTGATCTCAGCATGGACGCTTGCAGGCTTTTCTCTCAAAAGCTCCGCAAAGAACTCTGCCCTCCACAAGACTTAATCTCTTGACTTTATTTTATTTCATTGGTTTTTTTTTTTTTTTTACTGAGTGGTAAAAAAAAATGGTGCGATGGTTTTTGCGTCCTGTCGCGTTTCATTTCGCTGATGATTATTGTCAGCAACATTAGTAGTACTAACAAGTGAGTATAGGGAGGAGTGTGTTGTACAGAGGGTGGGGAATTTTACATTTTTACTGACAGGGCACTGCGCGCTCTGTTTTTTTTTTTTTTTACCTAGGGTGTGTTTGAATTCTGTAACCTTTTTTACCATTGGTTTCTTATCAATTGCCAATGGTACCGTTTTCGCAATTTTAATCATCTATCCTACTTTGTGTAAAAAAAATGCCCTCATGTTTAGGTTTGCAATTCTAGCTAAAGACAACTGGACCAGTTTGGTTGAACTTTAACTGCTACATATTATTATCTTTCTTTATGAATAAGATGGGAGAAAGGCGAATTTGTGGGGAGTGATTAAAGAAAGGCAAAACGAGGGTGCAATTGCTGTGTAGGGTGAAATTAGTAAATAATTGAGTAATTTAATTAATTAATATGGTAAGTAGATTGTAGATGTATTGAATTTGAATTGCGAGATGAGTGTGGAGGACAGGGTGTAAATGTACTTTAATATAGGAGGAAGCAACAGAGCAAATTGGAGTGTTACTATTTCAGCTGGCCTATCATCTCTATTCACCCATTCTCATTATAGTAGCCTAAGTAGGTCTTAGCACAAGAGCTAAACGTAATTATTGCCGTTTAATAATTACTATTAATACTCAGAATAATTACCCATTACATACGGAGTAATAATAAATTACCTAGAATTATTCACGAAAAGTTATATTGACTTAATGAGTTAAAACATTGAAGGGGCGTTTGGTTCAGCTTATATAACATAACTAAAGGAATATGACATTCCAAAGCTCACATTGGTTTATAATATCTTAGGGAATCTAACATTCTCAAGGAATGTCACATTCCCTCAACATAGAATTTCGAAGGGAATGTGATTCCCTTCAATTTCTTATGTTATGTAAGATAACCTTAGTTATATATATATATATATATATATATATATATATATATATATATATATATATATATATATATATATTATGTTTATGTTAGCATATAAAATAATTTTGTTTTTCAAGTTCAAGATTTTAGTTAATATTTCAAAATCATGTAAAATTATATGATACCGTTATCTTATTTATTTATTTTAATTTTTAAGGATATTATAGTATGTGTATAAAAGATAACCCTAAACCAAAAATTATATTACCTACCCCAATTTTAACCAAATACAGGAATCTAACATTCCCTAAGGTAATCTGACATTCCGTGAACCAAACGACCCCTCAATAATTTCGAGAAAAATCTACTGTCACTCCTGTAGAGGACATCCTCAATAATGAGGTTTTTGGGGTGATGTTTTAAGTGCCAAGTAAGAGATATGCGGAGGAAAGAGAAGAAGAAAAAAAAAATAATCAATTGTTATCTTTGTTGCGTCTTAGGACCACAAAAAATCATTCTTTGCAGGAGGAATTCTAATTTTCTCTCTCTTTACATTCTCTCATCCACATCACCAAAGTTATTCTAAAAAAACTATGCAAAATGCACCAATGTGGATGTTTTATAGTCTTAGCAAGCATATGTTACTCATAATTGACAAGTTCAAACTGGTCAATAAATCACTGGGAGTCCAACTTAAAATTTTATAGACTTATAGTTACTATGCTAACAACTTTAGTGTTATGATTATATGGAGTTTTTTTTTTAAAAAAAAAAAAAACTATTAATATGATGATACTGAAATCTTTAAAAAACACATTATTAGTGGAATAAAATTTGAAAGGTAGAAAGATGAGTAGTATGAAGTCCGGTTGCAACATTAACATCAAACATTGTAATAAATTGTAATGCAGTCCTGAAATAGAAACTCCAAAACCCCTCTGATATAACTAGAATTGGTTTAGAAGGGGCATGTGGTCATTAAAGTTTGTTTGACAACGTGAAAATGTGTATTTGTAAGTTACACAAATGAAGCATGGAAATGGGTGGTGGGGCATTAGGGGATTTATAGTATTTGAATTGAGACAGCAGATAATAGGTATAGGTTAGGGTGAAGGGACAGCGGCAGGCGGCAGTGGGCCGGCGCACGGTTTGAGGGACCAACCAAAATCAAACCCATATCCATTCATTAAACCCCCACAGCCTGTCATCCCCGCTCCTCAAACTTCACAAATTCAATTCTTGAGCTTTTTTTTTTCATTTTGGTTTCATAAGTATAACTATTAGCTTCTTTTTTTTTTTCATTTTGGTAGGGTATATGTACGTTTAGTTATTCTGATACATGAGGGAAGTCGCTGAAGATGGCCAGCTAGGTAAGGAAAGTGGAGTTTCGTGAGAGAAGAAGGGTGGGGTGGGGGGACCAGAGGATGAGGTAAGCTATGAGTCACTTTCTGGGGAGTTAGTTTTTGAGTCTTAGTCTCACTGGATTCGTTACTACCACCACACCACCTTTTATCTAATGGTGAAAACGTTAGGTTAGGTTATACCTACCCGTTAAAGAATAGCAACAAAAAATGATGAGATCACAGTGTTTACTTGGGACTAATTACTGCAAAATAAAAGTCTTTCACATAATTTGTGTCAGCTTCAATGTTCCTAATAATGGGAACCTTTTGCAATTTGGTTTTGTTCAATTTTAACTTTTTCTTTTGCCACCATGCAACTTGCAGGCTCTAAACCTCGAGCCCAAAGTGGCCCATGGACGTTCTTGAAGGCCTGAAACGTTTTGTTGATCAGAATGTCCAGAATGCTGGCTCTCATTCTCTTGAGGTTGTTGAATCAATAGCGTAATGGTGAAGAAGATGAAGGGTATACCCACGCCTTTTCTCTACTTTCAGAGTTACTTTTCATTTACTTTGGATTGCGTTTTCTGCATTGAGTGCAGACAAATTTTTTTGGGAATAAGAGCTTAAGCTTTAGATGCATAGAATGCAGGGGATTTTAGCTTTTGGGGAAAAAAATCTCATCTTTATTTGATACTCCGTATGATGTTTGGGGAAGACGAGAATCTATTCAGTGTTTTGGAGATCCTAAACCCATCAAATCCCCCGAGTTCCGCCTTAGTTCTGAGATTTTGTCTGCCAAAAATGGTTCCTTTGAATCTTTGATAGATCTCCTTTTGGGATTTCACTCCATTGCCAGGATTGGGATTCCATTAATTAAATGCTCTTTCTTTACAGCAAGGAACACTTTACTGATCTGAGATTATTAGGTTGCAAAGATCTGATCTTTTTGCTCATTAATGGTAACCCAAATTATACTGGTGGAAGTTTAGCCTCAAAGATTGATGATAACTGTCACCATTTCAGTTACCTGGTAATTTTGCTCATGTTGAAGAGTGATGACATTGATGAACTGAGATATACATAAGTTGCAGTGTTAATTGGTGAATTTATTGTCTGGGCATTAGTTACTTTCTTATTCAGTTTGCCACAGTAAAATTTTTTGACTTGCATTTATCATTTATAGTGACTGAAGTTCATGGGAGGGAAGACATTTGGGGTGTGGGCACTCTTTGCTATCTTTGTGCCTTTAACCTTGATGACAGGCCTTTGTATTTGGCAACCTTGTTGTCTTTTGTCTATGCATTTGGTCATTTCTTTGCAGAATTCCTAATGGAGATCAGAAATCTAATTACTGTTGCCATCTTTGCAGCTGACTTTTCTCTAAATCTCTCTGTATATTCAATGCTGTATCTATTGCATCAAGTCTTAAATGGCTTCTGATTCTTGCCAGCAAAACAGCTTTGCTCCCGTGAACCAGAACCACATAATTCTTGTCTTTTTTACTTTCTGTCATTATTTTCAATTTTCCTTCTGGTTTATCTCAACCATGATTGTTCAAAACTTCAAACATAAATGAAGATGTTTTTCTGTCTCAAAAGAACATTTTTATAGTGCAGAGTGATGATTACATAGAATGCAGTTTGCTAAATCCTATGTAATCAGAGATTACAGATTGAATAATACACTTGGTTTTCCTCCTCCTAAACTTAAAATTTCCTATTCTTGCCCACAATTTATCACTCGAGAACAAACTGAGCTACCCGAGTGGGCTAAAAACTAAAATTTTCCTATTCTTCTTTATCCTCTTCCCCTATCAAATCCTCCAATTGCTCTTCTGCCTTGTCTAGCTCACCTCCATCTGTGTCATCATCTCCTTCATTCTCCCTCAGCTTCCTCTCTTCATCCTCCAACTCCGCCCGGACCTTCTTCTCTTCATCATCCAACTCCGGCTCATCATCTCCGGCGAGTTTCAGGCCGGCGTCCTCCTCCTCGTCCTCAATCTCCGGGTTCAGGCCCTTCCTCCCTAACTTGAGAATCTGAAGCCTGCTGCTTTCTCCTCCTCCCTGCCCAGATACCTCACTGCCACCTCCCTCAATTCCACCCTTCTTGCTGTAAGATTTGTTCACCTGATAAAGCAGCCATATGCAGAGGGCAAGAACCACACATATCTGAAATCCATGCTTCAACTTGAACCCTTTCGCCCTCAAATTCCTACTTGATGATTGCTTCAACAACATCTTCAATCTCTCTCTCTCTCTCTCTCTCTCACCCCCAAAAATTCAGCAATCCATTTACCAGGAAAGCAGAGATGAAACTGAAACAGCCTGTTTAATGTTCAAGAATTATATCAGACACCAGATTCATACATATAACTAAAACTAGGAATACCAAACATTAAATTTTCTTTGAAGAATCTTTAACGCCCCAGAAGGAGCAAAGAACATCATGCTTGGAAACAAAGGGAAGGGGACAAAATACTTACCAGTAATAGCAGTGGACAAAAAAGATAAGTGTAAGTGACATACCAGAGAGGAGGGGAAGTTAAGGTGGAGAGATATGTGGTGTCGGTTTAAGGTTTGGGTGTTTGGAGGAGTGTCGGTGGGATTTTATTCGGCGTATCACTTGGAAAATAACCATGCCCCGTGAGCTCAATAAGGCTTCATAGAGAAGACAGTGAGAAAAACAAATTCAAAAAAAATTAAAAAATTGGGACAAGTGAACTACTCACCACCATTCTAACTATTGTACAGTACCAGATAATCTCAACTAAGTTAGTAAAATAGATGATTTAATAATTGTAAGATTTCAAATTCGACTCTTTCATAATTGTCTATTAGTCTTTTTAATTAAATTGGTAAACTATAAACAACTTAAAGCTAATTTATTTCAAACATAAAATGAAATTTACCTAAAGTGAATAAAGACTATGGACTTTTCTGTAAATCATGTAATACGAAATTTATTTTGGTTTTTGGAACAACACTGTTTTGGTGCTTTCTTATAATAATTCCATTTGGTGAAGTAGTACTCTAGGCGCACAATTTTTTTTTTTATTTGGTTGTTGGACCAGGTTTATAGGCCTGTATTTAGAAGCCCAAAGGATATAATTGCAGGCCCAGTTAGATTTGGGCAGCTCAAGTTGAGCAAATTGACTAGCAATTGTTATATCGTGCACCATGCCCACAATGTATTGTGCGTTCTAAAAATCATTTATTTCGTATGACATAATTGTATAGTAGAATATATATAAATTTCTAACATAATACACATAATCTAACATAATACATAATAGAGATGAACTCATAACATAATATACATAAACTCTTAACATAATACACATAAACTTTTAGGACGCACAATGCATTGTGCACCTTGGTGCACGATATAATTGTGAAGGACAAAGGTGATGATGTAAGTGGCAAATTATTCTGTGGACCTGGGTTCAGCTTGCATAGTGGACTCGGCTTTAAAAATACACAATTTACATACTGAATGTTTACAATTTTTACATATTAAATGTTCACAATTTACGTGCTAAATATTCACAATTTGAATTGTTAACATTTAAATTGTGTATTTTGAATCCGGATTCATGATATAACCGGTTGGATATAAGTTGATAGAAAGCTGCACATGCCATAAATTCAAATTTGCATGTCATGGCAACAAAATTGGCAAACAAGTAGTAAAACATCATGATTCTCGTATTTTAATTAAGATTATGAGTTTGATAATCTAAATTTTTCTGATACAATTTACCTCTCCAAAAAAGCGTCCTTTTATTTTCGTTTTGCCAACTAATGGTGAAGTGAATTAACATATTAAGCAGAAATTTTGTAAGAATGAGTGAAGAAATAGTGTTGATTATTAGCCTGGAAATGTTGTGTGGTATGAGAGCACAGGGAAGAAGGGGACGCAGGCACAGACACAGCAACAGACACGCACGCACATGCAAAAATGAAATGATGGCAGGCCATACGTTGGGATTGTGGGAATTTGATGGAATTGAGAATTTCGAGGTATGGTTAGAGAGAAACTGTGAAAGAAACACACAAAATCTTGCAAGATACGAAAAATGGCAGCACTGTTTAACCAGTTTGCACTGACAATACCACAATATAATGCCTCTTCAATTATTCATTCATTTACCAGTTACCCCCACACTCTCTCTCTCTCTTCATTTACAGTACCAAACCCTGACTTCTTATATTCAAGAAAGATTTCACTCTATTCTTCAAAACCGTAACTATAAAGTTATAAGTTCAATTCTTAACATGAGTGGTAAACCGTACTATTTTTTTCAAGCATATACTGCTACCTTTGAATCTGTTTTGTAATAGTGTGTATGTGGTACTGTTACAGTGGAGACTGAGAGCATATATACAGAATTCATAAATGTAGGGACATATATAATTCATAAAACATATACTATATGTATCAAATTTGAAAAGATGTGTCGCTGAGACTCTGAGAGGACAACTGTTGATCTGATCCAATGAGTAGGATGACCATTTTTCTAAAAGTTCTGGAGAGACTGTAATCAATTCAAGACTGTTCATCTCCTCCTTTTTGTGTGTTAATGAGAAGAGGTTTGGAAGGATATATATTATGTACACACTAATTAATACTGGAGTAACATGAACTACATTATATTCTGCAAGGATTTTATACTGAGAGATCACACAAAAGTATATAGACAACTGAATTGAAGAAACTTTAATTTGTATCTTCATACACCAAAAAGGAAAGAGGAGAAGAAAAGAGAGGCTTCTTCCCACCTTTGATCTGACTATAATTCTGGGTTTCTTCTGATCTGATCTTCTTTTCTTTGCTGCTTAGCTAGCTAGTTCATCATGGGTTGAAAAGTAGGTCACCACATTTACACTTCCAGCACATGGGCTTGTAATTGGAGAGATAATCCCCTCTTGTATAGGCCACATTCTTGGGGACTGACTTGAACCCATGGCTGCCTCTACTTGTCTGTTGGTGTTTGAAGGTTGGAACAATGGGGACTTGGACTGCTTCACAGTGCCCACAGTTTCTGCACCTACTCTCACATCTTGGTGGCCTTGACCCTATCAAACTCCTCACCCTCACCACAATTTCTTCATTTCCTCCTTTCTGCTTTAAATGCATGCAACACACCATCAAAAATTCTAATCTCGTCAACCCAAGCTAAATTGGTCAGACTGTTAACTTGGTAACAATTGAGTTACAAGTTCAACTCCCAACGAGCCTATTAACGTTCTTTGTTTGAACCAGTCAGTTATACTGGTTTGTGGCTCAAGTTCCCCCCGTAGCTGAATAAAAAAAAATGATCTCACAAATTATATATAAAGATGAAATCTCACCTGAGGTGTATCCTGCTCTAGTTGCTTGGGCATTTCTCTGCCTGAAATATGCAATGGAAGAGTTAAAGAACATGGAGAATATATAGTAATTTCAGTGTTGTGTGTCATGTGTGTAAAGATGAGTGATTTGAAAGAAATAAAAGATTTTGGAAACTGCCCACTTACCTTGAACCAAGAAGCTAAAATGGGTTAGGGCTGAAACTGAGAAAATGAGGAGGAATATGATTAGGTGTGGATTTCCATGGCGGAACATGCACTGTTGGGAGCAGGCGGCCATTGGGGGGTTTCAGAGAAAGCTAGCTTGAAGTTGGAGCAGATCAGGGAGTTTTAAAGACTAAAAGGGTATATGAGAGAGCTAAAGAAAGATGATCAGTGGTTCCATAATGCTAAAAGAGATGATAGATTTCCAGAACTAGTTTTTTTCTTGCTTTGCTTTCTACGATTGCAGCCACGGAAATGGAACATTTAATGCAGGGAACAGAAGGGTGCAGCAAGAAAGATGAGTAGAAGAAAACGAGTTGAGATAGTCCCTGAAAAGAGAAGGACATCAAAACCTCGTACACTGAGCCCCTAAGTTCCAACACTTCCCTAAATGAGGTCTTGTTAATTAGGGGTGATGGATGCTAACGTGGGTGTCTTGGGATAAGGGTAGTTTTATACCTAACTCCTTTTTGTTTTTTTTTTTTATAATTCATATTTCTGGCTTCGTCAAACTGTACTCTAATTTCCAGTGTTGTTTTACATTGCATATAAGAGGTCTTTTTATCATCATTAATTGGTTAGAGTTTCTTAATGATTTCTCAGGATCAGCGTTCTCTAATAACTTCTCAAGTTCTCAAACTTACGCTGAGAGTAAAATTAAACGTTAATTAAGTGATCACCTAGTGGGGCTACAGCTACTCAATTTCAAGAATCGAAAAACAGGTCACAAAACATGGATTTTTCTTTGATGGATTCAAGAGATCAGATAATACAAGCAATGGAACAATGGGGTGGGTTTCCACTTTCCAATCATCTGCAGCATAATTAAAGTGGACTCACAAAAAAGGGAGAGATGATAGGAACATAAGAAGAGAGATTTTTGCACAAAAGGACAATTGAGTTCACAGGTGTGGCTTAATGCATATGGGTTTTCATTTTCCTCCCAAATTCCCACTCACTTTGTCCCCCTCACTTGTGTATATCAACCATCGCTACTTCCATTTCCATACGCCAACTCCCTTTTATTTTTAGTTATTTGGCTTTATCAGCTCATTTGAAATTATGGGTAGCATTTAGTTTCAAGAAATATCATAAAACTAGAACATTTAGACCATTAACAACTTGAGATTGAGCCAGTAAAAACTCTCGAAATTAGGGTATAATGTTTTTTTTCTATATCCTTATTTTTAGTTATTTGGCTTTACCCGCAGATATAAAGGAATTGGTAGCATTTAGTTTCAAGAAAGATCATACTAGGAGAATTTGTAAACCATTTACAACTAGAAGTAACAGCAACTTTTAGGATTAAGGTGTAATGTTTTTTTTTTTTTTTTTTTTTTAAAGTTATTTGTCTTTTATCTGCTGACTTGAGAGGATGGGTAGCATTTATTTCCAAGAAAGGTCATAAATTTTAGGGTAGGTGCATAGCTACAAAGAGCTTAAGTACAACAGCTACAGTGTAATCTGCCAAAGTTGTTCAATGTGATGGAGAGATTTTGCCTCCAAATCCACGCAAAATTAAAAAAAATATAAAAAAAATAAAAATTATTGTTGCTTGTCAAATCCTCCCTAAATATATGTTGTCTTGTCACAACCTTAATCATGAATTTCCAAAAAAAATCCTTCAAATCTCACTCTGACATGATCATTTTACACAACTCTTATCACATAATCTTGTTCTGTCACAAAATTTTCAGCAACTAATTTCAGTTAATCAAGAAATTGAAAGTTTAAGGCAAAAGCAAGTAGGACCAAATCTTACCTGACCCTGATTTAGCTTACCTGCTATTCATCAGCTTTTGGAGACCAGTGGGGCTTGGATGAACTGGATTCCCACTACCATTCAAATCTCAAAAAGACCTCTTTTATTATGCTTCAATTATTCACTGTGAAGCACTCAAGATTACCCAGAAGATTTGTAGTTCATGTAACTGTACTGTTATAAGCTTTTTCTTTGGATTTATAAAACTATAGAAGATATATCTTGCTGTTTTAGATAAGAGTACATGCAGCATAACAGATTGTAAAGCTAAACTCAGGGTTCTGTATCTATTTTTACATTTTACTGACTACCTTTTTCTTCTTATATTCTTAGTACAAGAACCTGTGCGTATAGTATACCTCGATTATGTTTTGAAATAATTAAACTAATCCCGTGACTTATAGTACAAAATTGTCGATCATGTGTTGTATAACATCAGCTCCATCAGAATTAATGCAATACTTTTGTACCTGGATGAAGTTGGAAAGAACTGTTACCAGCTAATTGCATGTTTTTTTTTTGTTAAAAATAAAAAAAGACGAAGCATAAAAATTGGATTTTTAAGTGGTTAGACTATAATGCAATGGAGAATTCATGAAAGACGAGGTCCAGACCTGAATCGTGTTATGTGCAAAGTATCTTTGTTTACTTCCACGGAAGCTAACATCTATACGCTCCCAGCTCAGTTTTGTTAAGCCTTTGATCATGGCCTCTGCAAATGAATTAAAAGAAATCATGGAAATCACAGAATCGTTGTTCCTAATAAATCATGGTATAATATAAATAAATGTATCATTCTCGTGAAAATGATCGTTGAAGCTTAACCACAGAGCATCAGTTTGACAGTTCATTAGGATAGCAGAAATCTAACCTTCCATACAACTAGCTTTGTGTGCTCTACTTTTGGTCTTCTCGGAGCCTTGTTCTTGAGTGGTAGGAGTCTTTATTACTGGTTCTAAATTTACAATATGCGGGTACTTCTCCACTCTTTTGAGATTCTTACGCTGAAAGAGAGGAATCTCCGAGACCATGTAAGTAAATAATTTTCAAATCAATAATTCATAGTACAGACTTTAATTTTTACCTTTGGAAGTTCATTTCTGGGCCGTATTGATGATGTACTCCACCCAACTATATCTATATTTAAGTGTTAAGGTTTTGTGTAAACCAAGAATATATAAATGGAATGATTGTATTATTATGGTTAACGCTAACTTTAACCAACTTGAACCACTTCTGAAACTAGGAGAGTCGCACAGGACTATAATGTATATACTCCAGGATACGGTCAAAATGTATATTTGCATAGGCCACTCGACGCCTGAATGATTCCAAAGCAGATCTGGAAAGAGAAGTTAGATGTAAGAGATGTTTTGCATTACACTCATTATTTTTAATCGTAAGCAACTGCGTTTTGGGGCATTAGGGACTCGTCGAGAGAGGGGAATGAGAGTTGAATTCAAGTCTTTTCTGCCCGGGAAATTGCATAATTTTAGAACGAGTTTAATTTGTTCATAATGACTTACATGAAAGGTAGATCTTCAGAATCACTGGCCATCTGTAACAGAAGAGGAGGTTTTCCATTATCACTGTCAGTCAAAAACAGATGCCTTCCCGTTCTTCCAAGTATCCCTGATGCACGGGATATGACATTCTCGAGGGAGTAAAGTCCACAGAAGGCAGGGACCTGTAAAATTCAAAGAAAAGATAGCAAGCATTAGTTAAACCTTCAAGATATGCACTACGAATACAATATGTACTACTAAGTCAACAGTCTGACCAGCTTGGCTGGGGTTGCCTCCTAGCTTATTATGTTCAGTAAGCCTCTTAATTGTGTATCGACTCTTCTCCATAACGAAGAACAAAAGAATATGCAGAAAGACTACAAATCACCTGTTTGTGCCCTCTTGAACCGAGATGAGGTGTTGCAATGGTTATGAAATTCACCGGTTCCAGTCCAGCAATTTTTCCTTTCAATAAATCTTCTGAATGCAAGTCATTATTAGATTCGTTTAGTTCACAATCTCCATTTTCTTTGCTGGGCTTTTCTGCACACCCTTTTCCATATAGGGTGGCAATCGCATATCTCGATATCAGGCCACCAAGTGAGTGGCCAATAAAAGAAATCTTTTGAAGATTTGGATACCGTTGTATTACAGATGTAACCTAGGAGAAATTAAAAAAAAAAAAAAAAAAAAAAAAAAAAAAAAAATCAATTATACAAACTACATAGTCTAAACTTTAAAAAAAAAAAAAAAACTATTTCTTCAATAAACAAACAGTACGCACCTCTTCAGCTAATCTCTTCCCCATTACATCAACACCATCAAATGTCAATGTTGCAGAATTTGATTCACTGCCTGAAAATAGCATATTAGGTAGAAATTTTTAAAGTTAATATCAATAACACATGGCTCGAACTAATTTAGAAGATTAGTGGCCTTCAACGTTGGGCAAAATTCAGCACACAATATGCAAAATTTTCTTTGTTTTCTCACTATCTGAGAGCACTTCATAAAAAGACTAGTTTCATGACTCCAATTATCCGTTTTTTTTTTTTCCTTTTGCATTTTTCATTTGTTAAGTGATCTGTTCTTTATATGGGAACATCAAATCATCAACTATTTCACTCGGCTTGAGCTCAATTAAGAAGTACCGGGCCAGATTGAACTCAAAATATTCAAGCTCAGCTTGAACTCAAAAGCATATATCTCTTGGAAGTTGAACTCAAAATTTAAGATACTAAAATTTTCTGGGGACTAGAATATGCATATGAACTTCACTATGAACAAATACTTTAATTTGAGAAATAAATCAAAGCTTGCCATAGAAGACTAATAAGATCTTGCACTAGAATACTCCTACAGAATCTCATTTCACTTGATTAACAAGAAAGAACAAGTAAAAAAGAATAGTATGAATCATGGAGCTAACAGTGAACTATGACATCTTGTGGATAGGCCTTCACAAATTGCTTGGCAGGAAATTTCCAATTCTCAGCACTGCAGGCAGGTAAAATTAAACCACAAAGAGAAAAACACTATTATCAGCATCAAACAAGACAATAACTGCCCCAAATTCAAAACTTTTTTTTTACCAATAATAAGCATGAATATTACCCTTCAAATCCTCAATTTTACTTATTCAACTCTAAGTAGCTAATTTAGTTTAAAAAGTATATACCTGCCAATAATGCCATTGACCATAACAACCAGGTGAGTGGATTTCTTATCTTTTTCAGTAGCCTCCACCTGGAAGCCCCCGTCGCCGGCGGATCGTTCCACCGTCGGCACCTCATCATCCAATCTCATGCACGGGAAGAAATAGTACCTCTTCTTGAACCTCCACTTCTTCACGGTATGATTCCCAGTGCTGTTCTTCTCCTTTTCATCCATACCCATCTCAGATTTTACGTCTCCCACCTCTTCTTTTACAGTGAGGTCTGATTCAATCTTCGTTTCAAACGAACCCATTTCACAAAAATCACACAGAACCAGCTGATCGATAGATGGGTGCAAATAAATCACTAATCTTTGGGGTCAAAACTTAAAAGAGGCCGCCTTAATTTTGGCATTTTATAGCCAGCTGCCCTGCTCCATGCTACGAACTTTCCTCAAGCTCGCAACTTTCTCATCACTGACTGTTGCAGACCATGGAAACTTGGAAATCTCGCAACTTTGAAGAGTCAAGATTTAGAATTGACGAGCCCGAGCTGCCTTTCATTGATCAGACAAAAATTATTCCTTATTCTTTTATTATTTTTTATATACCAAACCTCTAGGCTCTAACCCACTCTTAATCTTAAAATATACGGAGTATCTAACATCGTATGAACACTCCGAATAATTCATAAAATATCTGCCAGAGTCGCCTTCAATTCGGCTTTCTACTTCTAGAACGAGAAGACAATGACTACTTGCTCTGTTGAGCCTGTGGGATCGGTAGAGTCGGTAGACGATGAACGACTATAACTTCGTAAGGTTTGACTTTGTAACATACCTGATATGGTCTCCATTAATGAATGCTTCTAGACTTTGAATGAATGATAACCCAATATTATTGGGTTTTGTTGTAGACTTGTAAGAGCTTTTTTGGATTCTTTCCCAATTTATGCTTTAAAATCAATCTTTTATTCATGGATATATCTAAATATAGCTACGAGAAATATAATTCATATATAGAAATTATTTCCAAAATTTCCTAACTTACCCGCAAACATTTACTTTAAAATTTTAGATTTTTTCTGTCTTATTTTACCCGTCATGTTTACTATTAATTAATCAAATTAACTTTTTTTTTTTTTGTCAAATACTATGTACTTAAACAACATAGTTGTGGTTTCTCAAATTAAAAGTTTTCAAGTTTGAATCTCAATGTGAAAGCACTAATTCTTTATGCTTCAGTATGTATGATCATATACTAAATTGTAATAGTCAATAGTGCAACATTCAAATTAACTTTTTCATATTTTTTTATATTATTTATTTAATTTTAAATTTATTTTTATTATAATTTGTAAATATATAAATTTTATATATTAATACTAAATTTAATATTACAAAAAATTAAATTAATTTTCTTTTAGTTAAACCTCATTAATCAAATCAAACACATAAATAAGAATTAAGACACAAAGAATAGTTATTTATAGCATCCTTTTTTGGTGAGTAGTTCTTTATAGCATTCTTAGTCTCGTAATTAATAACAATTTATAGTATTATTCAATCCCACTAGTATAATTAAATGAACGTTTATAAAAATTCTACTAAAAATAAATGATAAATGATAAATAAAAGTTTAAGATTGTACTGGCTTTTCAATGTAACTTGTCTGATGATATATATTTTTAATATTAGCGCGCGTACACACATATATATAAGAGAACACCTCTTGCTGTAAAAGGTGTAAACACATCCACACCTTTCGTATGAAGAAATCAAAGGCTAAAATCTTATCATTACTAAATTTTCAAATTTACAATAATTATAAAATGAACTCCACTCTTTAAAATATTCAATAATTATAAAATTGACATTGTATGTTTTTTTTTTTTTTTTTTTACTACAATCCCAACTATTAATGGACACTGATGAACGATTGAGATGAATCCTCACTTTTACAGGAAGACACTATTCTTATTTGATATTTTCCCTACATATGTAAGTATATAACTTGTGTTATAATGATTGCATTTGAAAATAACAATTATTTTGTAAAATTGAAAATTTTATATAATATAATTATGGCCCTTTTTTCTTATTGCTCTTTGAATATTATTTTTAGATTAGTTAATGTTAGTGCTCATACTTTAGTTACATTAGCTTTTAATCAGGAACACTCTATGTACTGAGACTATGTCCCCCTGATTGTTTGGTTCCTTTCATTAATTAAAATGGAGAAAATATTTGATACACCGGCGTTGTATAGGTGCTATACGACAGCGGTGAATCAAAATGCGACACCTCATTAAATTGTAAAATTAACTTTTACTGAACCTTTTTAAGCAAATTATAATAATCTTAATATAGTATAATTATAATTATTTTCTTTTATTAAAAATAATTACCATAATTAATTAAAACTAAATAATACTGAGTATTAATTAGATTTATTTTCCTCTGCCATGGATTCAGTTGGGTGGTGGTTTTAGACGGAGTAATACATACTGACAAAAATCTTGTGAGAAATAAATGACCTTTGCTATTCATCCATGTCCACTTGCCAAAAAATCATGCATGTTTTGCACTTTAGTCGAAACATCCTTGCAAGTCCACTGCCATGGAAATGTAATGGGATCACTCAAATGGTGCACAAAGTTCACATGTAAGGCAAAGGGATTATACTTCTTCTCCCTAGTTTTCATTTTAGCTAAAGTCCCATCACAGACCATCTCACCATACTTGTCAATCAGCGTTTTCTCCCCGGCCTCAGTCCATTTCTTTCTTCTTGGCTGCGGCATCATCAACTATACCCACTGCCCAACCCCCAAATGTCCAACCACTAAATCAGCAACTTCTCTACTTGCTTAAATGCCCAAATTTCATCATCATCAAGAGGACATAGAAGCTGGCTTTTCAGGGTTGCGAGATATGCCGGTAGGTTACGTTCAAATCCTTGTGGGTATTGCACATCCTCTGTTACTTGACAGGAAAAAATACTCTGTATCTATATTAAGATTATTATAATTTGCTTAAAAAGATCAGTAAAAGTTAACTCTACAATTTAATGAGGTGGCGCATTCTAGTTCACCGCCGTTGTATAGCACCTATACAACGCCGGTGCATCAAATATTTTCTCATTAAAATATGCTAAAGCTTTTGATTTTCAAAAAAAATGTTATTTTAACGTATTTTAAGAATGTATTATAATTTTTGTTATTTTTTCCTTCCCATTTTCTTTCCCCTCATTTCCATAGGAACAGAAGAATAAATCCTGATATCATATGCACATATCTCTGATCTCTCATACAATGCATATTTGACCTCTTTGATTTGTGGCTACAAAACAAAACCTGCAAAAGATGAAACAAATCAGGTTAGTTTATCCGCTGCAACAATCCATATAATTCAGTGCTCAAACGATTTCATCCCTGATGAAGTGGATGCACAAATATTAAAGCACAGGAAATGCAGACATAAAGATGAACATATACATATACAGGAAAATAAACGTCAATTCTTGAAAGTATATATATATATATATATATATATATATATATATATATATATATATATATATATATATATATATATATATATATATAACAACCTCAGTTTCCTAATAGGTACCATATTCTCGAAATAGCATTGCTTAGTCCCTCAGATTTTACATTAGTTGAAGATCTTCCTAATACATAGAAATTCGCCTATGAAGAGGCAAAAGCAGCACATACATATTAAAAAGTTATAATATCAGACTGTAAAAACAAAGTGAAGTGAAAATCTATTTTAAAACGAAATCAAAACAGATGTCTTTTGTTGTAAACTAACGTATAAATAACTGAAAGAGCGAAATTGAAATGGAACAAATTAAGAAGACAGACGACAGTATTTGCTTTGTTCCTCTAAGGAGGTGAAGAGCTATTATAAGCAAACGCAGTAGAATTTTTTATATTTTATTTTTATTTTTGTTAACAAAAGATATTTCAACTGAAAGTAAGAAGAAAAAGACTGCTGACCTGCGACGGAGGACGGCGAGTTGAAGCCGGCGATGTCGGAGAAGAAGTAAAATGATAAACTCCGTAGAATTTACCACATACCCCCCAAAATAGTTGTAATCGGCCCAAAAACAAAACCAATTGAAATTAGTCCGGCCCGAACTTAGTGATCTAGTGGATCGCTTATCTACACACAACCTCAGGCCCAAATTTCATATTATAACTTTTTTAGGGAAAAGGGTCAAATAAGCCCTCGATTAGTTTAAAAGTCAATTAGGCCCTTAAACTTTTTAAAGGTGTAATTACACCCATCAACAATTCATTTAAATGTAATAAAGCCCAAAAACAAATTAATGACCTGCTATCATAGGTCATTAGAGTTCAGGCCACCTTCCGCCGAATTTTCCGGCAAAAAAAAAAAAAAATGACCGGCACAATTTTTGGCAAATCTGGATTGGTTGCTGGTCACATTTTTTTTGTCGGAAAATTCGCCGGAAGGTGCCCTGAACCCTAATGACCTATAATAGCAGGTCGTTAACTTGTTTTTGGGCTTTGCACATAAATGAATTGTTAATGGGTGTAATTGCACCTTTAAAAAGTGTAGGGGCCTAATTGACTTTTAAGCTAAAGTTTGATGGCCTATTTGACCATTTTCTCACTTTTTTACAATCATTATACTACAATAGACGTTATGTCAGGGACTCAAGTCCACCTTGCAAGGTGGACCCTGATCCAAATACACAATTTATATATTGAATGTTCACAATTCAAATTGTGAACATTTATTATGTAAATTGTGAACATTTAGTATATAAAAATTGCTAACATTCAGTACTTACATTGTGAACATTCAATATATATATTTGAATTTTTAAACCTAAATTCACCTTGCAAGGTGGATCTGAGTTCATAGAATAATTTGCCATTATACTATGGACCAAGGTTCATAGTGATGCATAAAGATGGAAGTAGCCAGACTCCTTTGTAGCGGCCTATGACCTGGTCTAATTAAGGCCTAATTAGGTTTAAATACTTTTTTTTTTGTGCAACTAATTAGGTTTAAATACTAATTATTCATCTTGCACTACATTAGTTAATGGTTGAGAAAAAAGATTAATGGAGATTGTTATTCATGTTCACGAGTATGTCATCTTTAAATATTAATTATTCATATTATAGTTTTATTACTTTTCTATCTTATTACTTTTATATAGCATGAAAAAAAAAAAACAAATTTTAAGAGGCATTTTTTGGGACCAATATGTAGATTTATTGCTCCCACTTGTGAACCACCTAGAATCTGAACTTATTTGGTTGATAATTCAAATGTGTCATGCAAAGACGTATAATAATAAATATCTAATTTCATCTTGATTTGTGATACTTTATAAATGACTATTATAATAATAAATATAATTGTCTAAATCATATTACATTCCTAAATTCCTAAGAGAATTCCAACGGTGATATAAAACAACATTAAAATAGAGTTTGATTTCAATTTTTTCACAAGTTAATGCCTTTTTAAATTATTTTTATTTTTTCAATATTTATTTTAGTAATACTATAATTGCCTAAATAAAAAAATATCAAATTTTAAAGATAATTACAGACAACCGAATCATATATTATTCAATTAATTGGATGATATTTTTATACTAATTTTATAATCAAATAAATGTACACTTTTAAATATTAAAATTATTTATTATTTCCTCTCTTTAATTTTATTATCTAAATATATAATAAAAAATGTATTGCACAGATAATTTACTAATTATTGTAAATTATAACATCATATTGTATGACGTTATAACAAAGTCTTCTATAAATAGAAAGATAAATGAAATAGTGAATAAACAAGAACAAGTTGACCAGTGGCACACTGGCACCTAACTTTATTGGTGTTACAGATTTTAAAAATAATTGATTTATCAGATCAGGTTTTAACAAAGTACTGAATTGATGGTAGATCCCTCTATGGATATTTAATCTTATTTATTGAGCTATTAAGTTATTGTAATTTATATTCTCTCAAATATTTTATAAGAAGTGAAGAGAGCCTTTAAATTAAAGATTCAACCTTTTAGAAATAGAATAATAAAATGATAATTTGACTAAGTTAATTGAAAATTAACTTGATAATGATATAGTTTCAATTTGATTATTTACAATTAAAAATTGTCTATTGACTTGTGATTTTAGTTTTCTGCTTATTAGAATTACTGATCAACTTTATTCAAAGCACATAATGGATGCTGGCTCACCCACAAATAGTCATGGGCTCCAAGTTCTGTAAACGGCGAATTCAAACATTAACCGCAGACGCAAGAAATGATTCCAGTGATTATATTGCCGAGGAAACAAGAAAATAAAAAGGCAATACCCCGAGGAAATTCAAAGATTCAAGAAAATGTTGATTTCAAGAGAATGAATTTGGTAAATTGGCGATGCCCAGATGGAGTTCTTCACTGTTCAGTGAAAGCCAGTCTTCACCTAATCAGATGAATTCTTAGGAGTAATGCCTCAATGAAGCTTGCAGGCAAAGCGCCAAGCAGGAAGAAGGAAGGTATCCTAACAAAATTAAATTAAAAAAAAAAAAACATTCTTTATTTATCCAACTAACATCACTTAGCTGTTAGCATTAGCGGTAATCTTCTATTGGAATTCAAGCATTCATAGAACAACTAATCAGCTTTTCTCCCCAATTCTGCAAGTCAAAGAAACAGCCATCTTCAAGAAATGCCAACACTTTTTATTGTCTTAAAATTCTCCGGGGAAAGCGACAGCTGAAAGACAAAACAGCATACAGTTTCTTATTGTTGGGTGGGTTGGGACTCTCATGCGCTTTCATAAGACTTAACGTGCAAAATTTCCGAAACTAACATAGGAGGAACAAATCCGTGGGTATATAATGAAGAGGTTCGCGGCTTGTTGTTTCCCAATCAGACCCTCCAAATCCCATTCTCAGCAATCCCATCCTCAGGTAACTCTTTGCTAGTGATCTTTCTTTGGGTCTGGGACTCATAATTTCTCAATCATGATTTAATGCTGTTCCTTTGATGTTTTTTGTTGTTAATAGGTTTCAAGAGAAAGCATGGAAAACCCAGCAATCATCAATGTCAATGACAAGGAGAGCATGGAGAAGCCTGCAGTCATTAGTGCCAGCAATATCTTGGAGTCTGAGGTATTTCAATCAATGGGATTTTACTGTTTACTATTTTACCTCTTGATGCTGTATGTGTGTTTAAATTCTTGGAGCGTTTAGTTTATGGAATGTCAAATTACCTTAGTTTAGATCAATGAGAAAGTCTGTTTAAATAGACAATTAATAAAAACTGAAGAGTTGCAAATATTAAAAGCATGCATGGGAAAAACAAAATAGTCATAAGAGCATGGCCATCGGAGGAGAAATGGGGGAAAAGTCACTTTTTTTGAGGCCAACACGCCATGGTGGCAGAGAGAGAACCAATAGAGAGAAGGAGTGGGGAGCATCTGCTATGGGTTGGATTATTTCTCTTCCCAAGAAAGAGAAATTAATGAAGATAGAGGAGTTGCTGGGTCATTTATTTATTTGTGTGTGGTGTTTGTTCTTGCTTGCAGGATTCAAAGGAGAACATGAAAAGCAAGACGGGCTATTCTGCTACTAATAATATTGTCCTTAACCATGAGTTCTCTGAAGGGCTGCATATGTGGCATGCTAATTGTTGTGAAGCCTATGTGGTTCCAGCTGGTTGTGGTGACAAAGGAGTGCCAACAGATTTTGGCGGTTGTTATGCTGTTATTACAAATCGCAAGAACTCCTGGCAAGGATTGGAGCAGGATATCACAAACAGAGTTTCCATGGGTTCCACTTATTCAGTTCGGGCTTGTGTTGGAGTCTCGGGGACAATTTCAGGCTCTACTGATGTCTTGGCTACACTGAAACTTGAATACCAAGACTCAGCTACCAGATATCTCTTTATTGGAAGGTATTATATTCCTTACCTACCTTATAGTTTTTTTTTTTTATCAAAGAAAGTCTGATGCCATCATGGAAGTCCTTTGCATGCAGAAAATCTGTTAGCGTAGACAGATGGGAAACACTGGAAGGCACATTTTCAGTGTCTGATAAACCTGATCGGGTTGTATTTTATCTGGAAGGGCCTTCACCCGGAGTAGACATACTCATAAAATCGGTCATAATCTCTTGTTCCAATCCCAGAAAGTGCGAGGTGAGTTTACCATTCCAAATGACTATAGTTTCTTGCTGTTTGCTCAATTTCTCCTTTGCTTATTCAATACTTCCCTTGCATGATAGAATTCAAGCACAGTTCGTGTATCTGATGGAGACGAGAGTGTTATATTGAACCCCAAATTTGAGGATGGTCTGAATAACTGGACTGGAAGAGGCTGCAATGTTGTTTTACATGATTCTATGGCAGATGGGAAAATCCTTCCACTTTCTGGTAAGGTATTTGCATCTGCAACAGCACGAACACAGACCTGGCATGGCATTCAGCAAGAGGTAACGGGAAGAGTGCAGCGAAAGCTTGCATACGAGGCTACAGCTGTAGTTCGGATATATGGAAACAATGTAACTAGTGCAGAAGTTCGGGTAACGTTGTGGGTCCAGGCTGCTGATCTCCGTGAACAGTACATTGGCGTTGCCAAGTAAATTTCTTTTTTTTTTTTTTTTTTAGTACTACTGACTCTGTTACAATAGCTAGAAATGAAACATGTTTTAAAATGTTCTCTGAAATTGCTAAAAGCAAAACCTGGTTTGTTGTGTAGAGTACAAGCAACAGACAAGGACTGGGCACAGTTACAAGGAAAATTCCTTATAAATGGTTCCCCTTCAAAGCTAGCTATTTTTCTGGAAGGCCCACCTCCAGGCACCGATATTCTCATTAATTATTTTGATGTAAAGCATGCTGCTAAAGTGCCTCCATCACCTCCACCGGTGATTGAGGTGAGTTCGAATTTCGAAATGATGAATACTAACATAAGACTATAAGAGCGATTTCTTGATTGATTCAATCTGGTCTTAGGATACCAATAATGTTACTTTAATTTACTCTCCAGAATCCTGGTTATGGTGTTAATATTATTACAAATAGCAACCTCACTGATGGGACAAACGGGTGGTTTCCCCTTGGCAATTGCACGATGAGTGCTGCAACTGGCTCGCCACATATAATGCCTCCCAGAGCTCGAGATTCAC